AAGCTTTAACAAATTGCTTCATGAGACCCAGTTTTATATGCAGAGGTGGAAATATAATGTTCTTTTTTTCGACAAATGGCTGATGTAGAATGTTTAGGTCACCAGATTTCAGGTCAGATCTTGGCAGCCAATATGACCGCACCCATTTCTCACAAGCTGTGCTGTCCCACATACATAAAATACAGGGATATTTAGAAGATCCATGTTGCTGGCCAAGGAGGAAGCTGGACATTTTAAAATCAACACAGATAATCCGTTGGTGCATGTGATATTGCAGCAAATTAGTGACTCACTTATGTCTTCATTCTTCACACAAACTGAAAGGCCAATTGGGGCTATACCAAATAAATTTCTGGAGGAGTACAAGCTTTGCTTTGTGCTATTGAGCAGTCACCATTGAGTTGCGTTATAGGTTGAAATTCTGAACTCTTCCACTAAACCATGTGCATTATAGCAATACCCAAATTTATCATCACTTTGAAAATATTGCAGAAATGTGTTTTCACTTGATCAAATTAGGATATCTTAACTCCTTTTTCAAGAAAGTGTTTCTCATGCGGTCTGGATGGTAACACCTCTGAAGCTTTTTTGGGTAGTCCCAGATCTCATGCCAAATCATTCAACTCATTCATCAAATCTCATATAAACAGGATCTTCTTCAATTTCAAAATCATTGTTGTGGTCAGTTCAATATTTACCAGAATTGTTTTCCTGTATTTCCAGGGTAATTCTTTGGAAACTGGCACTAGGAGTTCGAGGCAATGAGCATATATCCCCTGGTGGTAAAATAGGATACTCTATTTACATTTGTTTTCCTTTTTGTATCCTGACATTTTCACTATACAAAAGTAGCAGTCACTTGAGCGATCTTTGAGTTTTCCCCAAATCATAGGTATACTAAATGGAAATTTAAGACATGTTCCCTTTATCACATCCGTAAACTTTTGACACATTGCTTGCATACTTTGTAAGGGGTTTTCGTGATTTATCTTTATGACCATTTTTCACTTTAAAATAAGCAAAGTAGACTTGCTGGACTGGCTTAGGCTTGAATTACTGATGCTTGTCCTTTGAATGTGAGTGGTAAAACTGCCAGATGTATGACAAAACGAATTGGGACTTTTTGAGTGCTTACGACATGAACTAGCAGAGGTAGACATAAGAAAAGGTTTGTGTTCATATGTAAATAAAAGCTAAACACTTCTAACCTTGCATATAAACAAGATCTTGGACTCCACGTCAGAAAGCACTTCATTACATCAGTGCAGCACACAATGTCTTACTGCAATATCTCAGGCATAACTGAACTAGTCTAGACAAAGATGCACCTGCCGCTGGTCTCCTATTGTGGTGTCATTCAATCAGTGCCAGTCGGAGAATTTATGTCAGCCAATAGGAGAACAGTAGTACTTTCTATGATCCACACTGATTGCTGCAAAGAGTGGTGATGTAAATTTAAAATGTGGCATAGTAGAAAAAAAAAAACTAACTACAGTTTTGAAATCAGGAATACCTATTTAACTCTAAAATAACTAAAAAACTCAAGCTAAACAGAAATTGTGTTACAGACTTTTCTCCAGTGTTATATTTTATTGTATTATTTTTCATAATTATATTGTGAGTTTTCATAATTATAAAGTGACTTCATAATTATAAAGTGACTTAAATTTCATAATTATAAAGTGACTTCTGATAATATTATTATGATTATTGTAATTAATTATGCAATAATAAACAATTATTGTATTTAATAATTCTTTTTATCTTAAATTTATCTGTTACATAAATTATTAAAATGTATGTGTATTACATATTGAACAAGATTCTTTAATTATAATAATTATACAGTAATAAGTAATTTGTATAGTTATTAACTAATTATGATAATTATAATGTAATAAATAATTATCTTTGACTTTTGTGCTAAAAGTTATACGCAGCATTATGCATACTGAAGGGTAAAAAACCAAATTTCTGACCTCTATACTGCTTATTAATCTGTGTCACAATAACTATGCATATATGCTGCCCAACTGCCAAAGTGGTTATATATGCCAAAGTGGTTAGCAGCACTGACTGCCATACCGAAGGTCCCGAGTTCAAATCCTGGAGAAAGCATGAATATTTCTAAATGTATAGTGTCTGTACAGCATGCAGGCACTGTAAGTATGTGGCAAGCTGAAAGTCCTTTCAAGAAGTTGATGGTAGGGAAAGAGGGGTGGGAGCCCCTCAGACCCTTTCCCCAGGGTGTTGTCCATGAAAATTGAGGGTGGAACTGATAAAAGTTGTACTTTCACCTGCATGGTGCTCAAGTCTCTTCCCAACGACAGGCGCAATCTTGCACTCCTTGCCACAATGAATTTTGTGGTCTTGCTTTTATGTTACTGTCAGACAAGTGAGATAAGTCACATCAGTATGTATAGGCAAGCCATTATACTCTTTATGGGATTAAACAAAGACTCAACATAAATCTTCCATTAGATTATTATTTATTAGACCATCTTTGTTCCAAAATCATTTTCTACTACTTCTGGTTCTCTGTCATGACACTTTCAAGAGCTGCTTCTGTAAGTTTCAATAAATCTATCCATTGCCATGTTTCCAGCTGTGTTGTAGTTTCATACGGATTACTTTATTTCACCCCAAACAAATTCAATCGGGTTAATGTCTCGTGGTGTGAGAGGAGACATACAGTTGTAAAACCATGTTCTTTGTGCATTAATCAAATATATATAACTTTTCTATAGCAGCAGTTTGTTTCACAAGTTCCATGAAATCTACTTTCCATAATTTTAGATAGAGTATTCTTTTCTCTCAAGTAACATTTGTATAATTTGTTCTTGGCTTGTCATTGTTGGACAATTTTGTAATTTTACGGTGTGGTATAAGATAATATATATGTCTAAAATCACTATAGCCATTTGGTGGAAAATTTAGAATGAGTTTTTCAGAAGCCCAGTTTTCAAAAACAGAACTCATTTGCCCGTGATAGTCCTCCAGTGTGGTATTTCTTATGTATACTAGAGAGGTATGAAGTAAAAATTCCATATTGCTTCTGTCACATAAAACAGTCTTTTAGATGCATTTCTGCTGTTTATAATAGCAAAAACTGTCTTTGATTGCCAGCATTTTGAAAATGTCATATTGCTGACCAGCCAGGTGTTTTGACCAAGTAAATGAATGACCTGTTCTCATGACAAAATTGTCTCATTTTTTAAGATACTATATTTTATTTTATTTTATTTTTTATTATTATTTAAAATACACTATGACTTCTTTCTAACTTTTCTCTTATTTAGGCTTTAGGAGTATATTTCAGAAAGTTTCTTATTTTGATTTAAAATCTATCTTTTCTTGCAAAACAGGGGGTAATTTTGAAAGTGGTGGAATGTTTTTCTTTTCAGTATAAAATTCATAAACATAACATAAACAGTTCTTCATAATACATCAAATTCGGTCATAAACATAAGCAGTTCTTCATAATATATAATTAAATATAAATTCAAAACCATCTCAACCAATACTAACAAATACTTCCTTTTTTAGAACTTTTTTTCGCTGAGGAATAGAAAACTGGCTCTTCCTCCTTTTCTGCCTCTTAGTGAATTTTCTTTATTGTCAGCAATACTCTGCAGTGTTGCTGGCTCTTTTCATTGGCTGTGATATGGAAATAGTATGTTCTCCATTCTCAGCTTCCATGTTACAAAATGTAATGATACTATGCAGCAGTTTCTTAGTTCCACTATTAAATGCCTTGGTTTTACAAATTGAACTCATTTTTAATTTCAAGTCTGTAATACTTTAACAAAAGACCACAATACTGGCAAATACCACATTAATCAACTATGGTCTGGGCAGATACTGCACAATGAGCTGGAAACCTTCTCTGTATATATATATACAAGGCAAACATGTCCAGATTCAAGATAACTTTATTATTGACGAAAGCAAGTCAGGATTTGCAATATTTGTTTCACATACAGACGAGCGTCATGTGCTCTACATTTTTGTTAGATCAGATCAGATTTTGTTAGATTTTTGTTAGATCAGATTCCTTGAACAAAGAAGGTAGCCGCAAAGCTTCTGGCCAGGAGGAAAGCTTAAGTGGAAGTGATGCATCAGTTCATAGAAAGAAGAGAGGGAGTCAGTTTTAGTTATGGTTTACAATTCGGTGATTGGCCAACAGGCATCTGCATCAAGGGTTACGTAAGATCGCATGATTAATTTGAGTGATGCGGTTTAGACCTAAGCACTATTTTTAGGACAGATAGATGAAGTTTTCAAATGAAATAGAAAATAAAAGAGATTACAGTGAATTAAATTTAGAAGTTTGCTTTCTTATTTTTTATCTTACACATATATATTTTTTTACTGTACAAATTATATTTCTGCTGAAGAGTATAATTCTATGATTTTCAGCAACCTTCTTTTTATAAGCTTTGAAATATCCATTGTTCATATAAAATTCATAAATATGTATAAAAAAGTATTAACATTCTTAGTTTCCATACTGCAAATGTTCCAGTTTTTCTTACGACCACTATGAAAGGGAATAAGACTTGAGAATGATATGTGATGTTCAACTTTCCTGAGAATTGCTAAGTAGTTATTAGAAAATAACTTTTCCTAGAATTTCGGGGTGCTTGTCAGAAAATAGCTGAAGACATTACAATACCTATTGAAAAATTTTTAAAATCATTCAGTGTCTTGTTTGTCTTAATACCCATAGCCTATAATCTGTTTCTTAACTTGGTAATATATATTCAATATTGTAAACGAAAAAATTATGTGGGGAATATGATTCTACTGTGAATTATGTACTTAGGCAGTAATATAATATTGTATAATTATTAGATCTATTTTTGTTTAAATTAAACATTAATAATCACGTGTAAGGAAGTAAAATATTTCAAAATGTTTGATATTTTATTTAATATAAGATTTTTTTTAATTTTTATTTTTATTTAGATAAATGTATTTGTACTTTATCTTCTTTTTAGAAATCAACCTAAAGCTGTTTTAAATAAAGTAGTCAAACCCAGTCCTCCATTGAACAAAGTAAGTAATTTGCTGCTTGGCATTTTAAAAAAAAAAATTAATAATATAAGATCCATCAGAAACTTTTTAAGTGGGAAAGTAATCATGAAATTTTGCTGCAATTTTAAAATAATGTATTTCATTCAAAATCTGTTTTTTTAATTCTGTGCTTTTGTTCCACATGCTGTGACATTTAAGAGTGTTTTAACTATTAAATACCAACTTTTAACTGTACAATTTGAATGCAATGGATAGCTGTTGTGATAACTCTAGTTAGTTGATTGTCAGATATAAATTTGGGAGTACAGGTCTCACACTGAGAACCTGATATTTAATCGCTGTTGAAGCAGTGACATTTTGTATAAGAGAAGTGGTTTGACCTGTTTTTCCCATTCAGCAAGGAATGATAAGGAATGCTCTTTTAATTTTTCCACAGAAATTTTCGAGGTAATATATTAGGATAGCTGTTTGTCTTCTAATTCTTCCATATCACAATAGAGTTCTGCATGTCTTTAAGAATTATCTTAAATCTATTATAATACTGTGTTTAATTTGAAGTTCTTTCTAGGACGTAATGATTATTGTTAAGTAACTACAAGTAAAAAATGAAAACATTTTTGTGATCTCAATTATTTTCTCCTTTATTTAGGTTATATTGCATCAAGACAGTGCTGTGAAATCTTTATTATAATTTCCATCTAATTATCTTTATTGTGGCATATCTAACTAAAAAATAATTAGTATTTTAAAATATTTTTCTAGATTTCATTCTTGATTTTGGTTTTTGCAACAATTTCTTGCCTACATTTATTGGTTTATTTCAGCACCATGAAAAGTAAAGTTTAAATCTAAAAAATATTTTCAACTCCAGGGTGCAAGACTGTCTGTCGGAAATTATAAAGATAGCTGTTTTTAAATATTTTGAGTCCAAAGGAATATTAGCCCAAATGATGTCAAAACGTGTATGTGCATGTAAATGAAAAACACCACTTTGAGCATAATATAAAGTTTGAATTTTTTTTTTTAATGTAATGTATTTTATATTAACTGAGAGAATGTCAGCATGACCATTTAAAAATTGTATATAGTAAACTTTGTGGCCAGAAAAAATAATAATGTATCCATACTTAACGCTCCAGTTGGCCAGAATGTATATACATCCAAGAACATTTTTCATAATGCCACTTTTTTGTACTGTAACCAAGGAACTACCATTTTCTTACAGCAATTTTGGGAAATTTGGGTGTTTGGAGCTAATTGTTGGTTATTTGAAATCTGTTAGCATCATGTATAATCATTTATTAAAATGGAAAATAAATCACAAAACTAAACACTGAAAACATGAAGTAAAATGTGTTGTATGTATACCTGCATTAGGTCCTGAGTTATTTATGTGTAACCGTTGGGTATTGTGCGAGTTGTATTATTTTTTGGAAACAAATTGTTTGTCAGAGTAGATTTTAAAAAAGTTTAAAAGATGTAGCTGAGGTTTTAAAATGTACAAACTCAGTAGTTTCAAAAGGCATCTCTCTTATATCAAGAGGTTTAAGTCCTTTGGACCATTGTAATCACTAAATGTCATGAATTTTGACATATTTTTCTATCATTAGAGCTTGTAGTTATCAAACAGATTGTCACTTTCAAGGAGATACAAATGATACAAGTTGAGAGTAAGACCAAAAGAAGTGTTGATTTTTCTCATCTGACAACTTATTAGAAATGCTAGCTACTATGCACACAGAGCTGAACATGCCACACAGTTCTAGAAAGAAAGAGATGGTATAGCATATGCAACTACAACAAATTCATTAGAATAGTTAATAAAACTGATATAATAATAAACTCAACTGGCCCAACATGTTATGTTTTTAAAGCAGAAGAAATAGTTCTTGAAATATATTTTTTCCCTTCAAATGATAGATATGTCCCAGTAAATTGCCCATTGTTAATATAAATTGAAAACTAATGTACCTATATACATGACACCATTCCATCTGAAGTTAAGCAAATATAGAGTAGCATGAGTTCATCAGCAAAGTACTGTAGGACATTCCATGAATTGTGGTAGTAATAATAAATGAAGATGCATCAAAAAGCATTTCCTATTCTGTAATTATATACAACAAAAATGATAAAGAAGCCTGAATCATGTTTTGAATGTGATGAATATGATGGTGGATTGTGTGTATCCCTGTTTTACAATGTGATATGGCCAACAAGCAATCCAGGAGACATCATCAGGATGATTTTACCTGAGGTCACATCATTGAGAAGCTGAAAGAAGGTTTTAATGAGATATGTGTAGCGAGGAATTTGAGACTGCAAACAGCATTGTTTCTTGAGCCTTGGGAGCTTTTCAAATAGCAGTAACAGCTGTTTTAGCATTTAGCAGTGGTTGTCCATGAGCAGCATTGGCAGTAGATGGCCAATATATGTCCTACCATCAAGAAGAGACAGCAGACAGCGAGAGATGTCACAAGGCCATGCAACAGACTGCTGAATGTCCGATATCTCATTTTTAAGAGGCTGCACATATATGGTCTATATGCACAACAACCAGAATGGTGTGTGATGAGCAGCCCATTAATGCATGCTCATCAGAGAGGCCAGTATCTGTGATGCTAGGAACACAAGAACTGGACACAATAGGAATGGGGTTGAGTGATCGTTCTGGGTAATACAATTTAGTCTGAGGAGCAGTTCAAAATGTATATTTATCTGGAGAGAGAAGGAAACATGCAATCATCCCTTCAACATCATCGAAAGGGACTGTCTGGGAGAAGACGGAGTTCTCATTCGGAGTGGTATAATGACCGTACTAATTTCCACATCTCTCAGGCAGCAAGAGAACCTCAGTACAATAGTGGACAGCCATGGAGTTATCCACTATGTACTGAGACACCAGCCTGTCCACTATTGTACTGATGTTCTCTTGCTTCATGTGCATCTGTTTAGAGGTGTGGGCTCAAACTTCCTCTTCACAGATGACAACGCTACACTTAATTTTATAATAGCTGGCGCAGAGATCGTGGAGACTGAAGATATTCAACACATAGATTGACCTGCAAGGATCCCAGTCCTAAATCATATAGAATACATGAGGAACCTTGGAAGATGCTTTTTCTTCAAGTTGAGTTTGTCAGTTATCAGGCACCCCTGCTTTTAAGTAGCATTTTGTGCCAAATGCATCAAACTCAATGCTTTCTAACTCCATTTGGTCACCCAATTAACAGCCCTTTTATAGAGCTGAGGTGTAACGCTTTAGTATTGCGAATACCTAAAGTAGTCAGCATTATCAGAAGTACGAGGTCAGTAGTTTGTTCCTGTGATAAATGTTTTTTCAGGATGTCCCTCAATGAGTAGGTCCATCTTGACCACTGCAAGAGTCTCCCTGAAGATATAACCTTCAACTCAAGTATCCCTCTTTTTTTAGTCCAAAGGGGCTTTGTTCCTGAAGGACTATTGTTTTCGTTTTGCGATTTTGTGTTGAATCACTATAAATGTCCGTTTCACTTTTCAAACTATTGCCACCAAATGTTAGAGTCTTGCATTATATTTGAAGAAATTAAATAATGAAAAATCTGCAAAAATGCATGCCTATTTCTTGCATTGTGATAAACAGCAGTACATAGAGCCATCGAATTTTGAATGACGTAATCCTCCTACGAATATGGGCATGTGGAAGATGAAAATTTGGAATTTGTTTTATTATCGATTTCTTGTTTTGTAAAACTTTAATGAATTTTTGAGTAACAAACTCAAGGATTTCAAAGCGAGCAATGGCAACACTCTATGGTGGTGGGAAAAAACCTTTTTATCTTCAGCGGGTGTGGAACTGTATATCGGAAATTCTAAAGCTCATTTTAAAATTATTTTGCGACATTGCTACTGACAGGATATTTAATAAATAAAAGTAACCCACAAAACGTTAAAAAAAGCCCCTTTGGACATAATTTAAAATCTGAAACTTTTCGTCCCCCCCCCTCCAGACATTCTCATTTTGATTTTATCTAGAGAGGCAGTCATGCTTTTTAATAGCTTCCAGCCCTTCACCAGATGTTGATTGAGTAGAGGTCATTTTTACATCACTTGATGAAGGATTCATTTCTGCTCCTTCAATTGATTTCATCTGTCCCGTTTTGAGAGAAGTTCTACTTCAGATTTCGCTGCAAACATTTTGTTAACCATTTCAGACATAACTAGAAAAAAAGGGGGCAGAATAAAATTACCCATTTTTTGTGCGTAACAAATATTCTAGAAGGCACATTCTAGGGTATGCATAACCTGTTGTGAAATGAACTGAAGTAATAACCGGCGCGAGGCGCTGCTGTTTGTGACGTCAGCCTGCGTGCTGAGTGTTTTCGAATGTTTTGCGTGTGGACGAACGAAAGCTGATCTCGGAAGAGTGATACTGTTTTGATGGAAATAAAGAATGATTTATTAAGAATTTTTTTGTCTTTATTCATAATGCACCCAGCCTCGGGTAGAGGCAGGCCCGCAACTGAACGAACTGTTTTAAATATATTTGATTTATATATTTTCTGTGTTCTTCGTAACATAGTGGTACCCTCGGCGGGACCGGGTGCTTTGAATTAGAATTTTCCGATTGAACTTTTGATTATTGAATTTCGATTTTGAATATACTTTGAAGATGGATTTGATCGCTTTAAAGGCTCAAAGAAAAGGACTTAGAATTGCGTTTTCGCAAACCTCAAGGAAAACCGAAAGTGAATTAACTAAAGAAGTAAGAGATTTGAAAATACTTTCGATTTTGAAGTGTCAACTTTGTGATAAATTCCAGAGACTTGACGTATGCCAGAGTGCTATATCGCAGCAAATTCTGCAGACTGAAGATGGAGAAAAAAAAATTATTTAGTGATGATTTTCAAGAAGCGGAGAATTATCGAGATAAGTTTCTAGAACAGTGTGCTCAAATAGATGCGGAAATACAAGCCTCTTCTCCTTCAAATAATTCCGAATCTAGGAAATTTAAATTGCCTAAAATTGAGCTTAAAAAATTC